CTGAAAATTGCTGTGATAATATAGATCTAAACTAAAGATAAATTGCAGAAGATGCCAAAAAAAAGGATTCGGACGCTCAATTCTAATACGCCAGAAAATGATATAGATCATCTTTGGATAATTGTTTTAAAAATAACATCTCGTTTAAGTGTAAAAACTAGAAGACTTAATGTATAATTATTATCTAAATTGCATCATACGATTAATAATTTCGATTACGATCTGTTATCGGCTTATGGCGCGCTTTGATTTATTTCTTTTAATTGACGGCCGTGGATCGATGGGACGATTATCGCTCTGAGGAGACTGGCATCCCGAAGAAACCTGGTTTAATCGCTTCGTCCTATAAACGCGGACGACCAACGGTGTTGCTGTTGAGCAGAAGGCAAAAAGATGGCTGGCCGTGGATCCGTTGTACGTAAGGGCCGCGCGCCGCGGTCTGTAATTATCGCCACTGGCCGTGGGAATTGAATTACGAGGTAAATTCGTGACGTGCCATAACGGTGGCTGTTCCGATAAAAGGCACGGGCCGCCCGACAATCATCTCAAGCACATTCGACGATTTCGATGGAGACTATCACGCTTTATTGTAATTTATACATTATAGATATCTACCTATGTAAAGAAACTCATCTTTTATCTATATAGACACTCATCTTTTATCCGTTTCTCTCAGTAATTTTATCGTAGATTCTCTTATCAGAAGAGAAAATCAACTCCATCACAGAAAGAATTCGGATTTAGAAAATTATATAGAGAATTCAATGTATTATTGATCAAATTGCAAGGCAAAAAATAGACAAAGAGAAATAAGATAAAAGCTTATATTACTCTTCACGTTTTTATGGCTGCAAAGAATTCGGCATGCTGCATCATGAGCAGAGTACCATGTCGCTTGATTCAAAAGCGTCCCGCATCTCGATTCATAACGATCCAATAACGCACAATGATACGCGCGCGGTCGTAAAATCCGGAAGAAAAAAAGCCCACGATTGTGTCTCGTCGTGTAACATATGCGTACATCATCCGCGATCCCGCAAGGTCCGGTCCATGAATAGGAAAAAAGAAACAAGTCCGCCTTCGGACGAGGAGCGATCTTCCACCCTACGAGGTATTATTTTCGTGACTTCGTCCGTCTTTCACTTTCTTCCCCCTCCGTTCCAGTCGTCCTCCCCGCTCGCCCCTCAGGAAGATGATTCATTCACCCGGCCGAAGGAGAAAACGGCGTGCGCGCAGGTTCGAGGACCTCGGGACAAGCGTTCGAGGGACGACGGCAACTCGACTCGTTAATCCGTGAACAATGAAGGATTCGAACTTCAGTCGCTGCTCGACGTGAATACCATTCGCTGCTCCTTTTCACGTTCGATATCTCATCGCAGGGTTAGAGGTGGCGTCGATCTACGACGGGCGATAAACTCTCTCGCCCGTTTCATTCCGACGCTATTCCGAGGGAGGCGGCTTGACGCGCGGTCCGATCCTTCCGTGATCCTTCGACAGGATCATTTCTCTTTTTGGTGATCCACGCGAGTGGCGCAACATATCGATATCATAAATATGCTGATTCTGATACTTATACTGCCTTCTATATATTATTAAAATGTTGCATTATTTTGATTGTTGAAAACTAACATTACTTTGCAGTGAAGATTAAAAAATGTTCTATTATCTGAACGACCCGATTTCAAAATGTTTTATTAATCTTTGTATTTATCTGTATTGTTGTGCAGGCAAACGCCTCGTTAGGCGATCCATGTAACTTATCCTTCACTCTATGCTCTCTCGCGTATTGCGGAATATATTAAATATATTTTCTTCTTCAGCACTGCTTTGAGAATACTAATGAATTTTCTGCAACGACGGGGGACCGGCCGTTGTAACTCCTCCTCTCCTATTCAATTTTTAAGAATTATTAATCGCGCTCGGACTGTTATGGAAGATACTTCGTTAGCTATCGTATCTTCTCCGCGTAATCGATTTTCTGTTTTCTTCCGCATGCAAAATATATTAAATGCATTTTCAAGGCTCCATTAAGAGTACTAATGAATTTCATACCGACCACGCGGTCAGTCACCATCCTAACTCCTCCTCTCTTGCCGCGAGGAAATGTCGGCGTGTCTCGGCAAAAAGGACCCGCACGAATCACGGCGCGGCGATCGTTCCCTTCTCAATGTTTGACGATCATTTGTAGCCGTCTACTAATTATTGCGCAACACGGTCTCGGGGCCCTTTCACCGTGTACAGCAGAATAAAGGTTGTCCATCAGGCGGCCTTTTTAGGCACAGACAAATTAATTTATTCCACCGTACGCCTTCGCACGGAAGGCGGGGCTGATCCTCACGCTCGCTTGTGCCAATCAGTAGCGCAAACAGAAGTTACACGTGAGACGAGCTAACGGTACCAATCAATGCGAGAGAATTTTCTTTCAGCAAATCCGAAAATAAGTTTTAACTCCTCTACATATTGACATTTTGCGAAAAATTCTCCTTTTCAAGTTAATGCAATACCAATACGCACCATCATTTTTGGCTTTTCATAAAAATATTTGAATTAACAATGCTGATTAATGTTATCAATATAATATTTAAATTACTGCTAACAAATACTAGTTACTAAATCCTTAAATTTAAAAAAAAAGTTTAGTAATTTCATTGCTTATATTATTTTAATTCTATTCTAAAGAAATAATAAGTACAAAATTAATAAAGTGTAAATTAAGCATCATTTTTAACGTTAAATTATCAATTTTTGCTAAAGAAGATATTTTTCTCTCAACTTAGGTGGTCGTGGCTTGCAAAACTATACAAAGGCAATAACAACAACGTCGATCGTATCATATCGATTTAACATCGGTTCGCGGGATGAAACAATTATGAGCAGCGGCGAACGGCAGTAAAATTAATAAGCGCAATGAACGTTAACGAGAACCATAAATATATTCCCCCGCGTCCTGCTTATTCGCCGATTAGCATAATCATTCCCGATATTCACGGACCATAATTTTAAAAATGTCGCAATGAATCCCGAGCAATTTTCTCTTCATAAAAAAATACAACAAGAGTATATCGTTAGGATTATTACCTGAAGAGAAACACCTCGGGCTGCGGATCCTAAATCTCATGTTGCGAAGAACCACTGTGTATTATCTTTCTTTCAAACTTAATCTTAATTATGCTTCATTTCGTAATATGCTGACTTTTTATTATGTATTACAAAATTATACAATCGATTACACAAAATAAAATAAAACAACTTCATCAATTTAAATATTAAATTAAATATTAAATAATTATATTAAATTTCTTTCTTATTGCTCATATTCTTGTAATTAATTAAATATTAATATAAAAAACATTTAACATAATAGCTTATAGCAAATACTGTTATACTTACGACGTATAATTACGATTACGAGTTTATTATTAAAAAATAATTTCGTCGTGTTTATCTTGTCCAAAAGGTTTATCTTTCAGGAAACGAAAATTCGATTGTGCATATTATTGGTCCGTGGTTCAATTAAGTCTTTTAGTTACGGACCGTTACGGGAGAATCGGCTTTTGTAAACGAAACACCCACGACGCGATCGGACGCGGAAGATATCCCGAACGGGTAAGAGGAATTAGGCTTGCAATCAGCGTCCAATTAAAGGCCAAGGTTGCGGCCCACCAACTCTGCGTCTCTCTTAATTACACAGCGAGATTTCGCCTATCTTAACGTGTTCATTATTGTGGTACCGGTGCTGGTTTTGTACAGGCGTATTAACGTATCAATTATGTGCAGGACCCTGCGGCTGTCATCCTCCCGTGGGAGGATCAATTAGCGAATCGTGCGCACGTGTTCGCCCTCCAATGAAACATTCGACATTTAATTACTATCCAGATTTCTGGGGTATAAGATTTCTCAGGTAAACATAAACGTTCTAAACAATCTAGATATTTATCCGAATATATTATACATTAATTTTCTTGGAACGTAAATTTCATAGCTTTGTCGTAAAATAAAAAGAATTGAAAGAAATTCCTGCAATGATTAACTTTTTATTAACTATATAGAACTTTATACAAACTTAATTTTCTTTTATTTCATTTTATTTTTATTTTTATTGTATGATAATGATAAAAAAATATTAGTATTGTTAATATTTATTTTGTATTCTCTTAATAAATTTTATAATATTTGCGGATATTTAATTTTATATTTAAAAAATCACATTTGTAAATATAATTCGTTAAGGACGTTTAATTACCGACGATTTGCTTTGGTATACTTTAGAAACGCGTGGAATGAAATTTCTATATATGGAATAAAATTCCTTTTCGTCAAAACTTAACTCCCCCTTGCTTGTCGTGTCGGCACTTCATTCTGCGGATCCATTTCGCGGTACTTTCGAGCTACGTCCTCATTACCGAGAGTCTCTCCAAAAAAAAGGGCCGCTGTGCTCGTTAAAACGTTCTTCTCCGCCGCCGCTCGCAATTTGTTAAAGGACGAAGGGCTACATGGGAGCATACCTGCGTGCCGGCACGTAAATTTCCGGAAAGGGATCCTCTAAAGCTTCTCTATCTACTCCATCTTGCCCTATACGTATTTCTCTCTGTCGCACGTCGCGCAAATCAATTTCGATTCCCTCGTTTCTTGTATCTCTCTCTTCCTCCGTCTATTTTCCCCATTGTGAGCAAGCAATAAAAATCGACAACGAAAAACACAATACAAGAAACGAGTGTATAAGGGGAAGATAAAGGTTATTTTACGATTTTTCGGAGAAGAAAAGGGACCTTTAATGCGATATAATGCGCCATGGAAGAAAAGAGATGCCAGAAAACGAAGTAAAAGCGAACTCAAGTGTGAACATAAATCACCGCTAAGTGCGGTCGCTTAAAAATTCATTTCATCTAGCCCTTTAAAATCATTGAAATTATGAGAATGTATTGTTACGCGTGTAATCTTTGTAGAAATTTTTGCTTAAAAATTTTTGGTCTATTCACAGTTACTGCTTAAAAATCTACCTGCTTGAGATCCAGGAGAATTGTGACGTATTCGTAGTGATCGCCTCTGGCTAACGTAGGGCTCTGCCACCATTTACCCGGACTCGAGTTGAGGACGTTGGTGATGTTGTGCCTCTTGCCAGGATCCGGACTCCTGGCGTCGCAGACGGCGCATCTCGATGACTCCGAGGGCTTGCAAAAAGTCTCCGGGCCCTCCTCGCCGCACGTCGCGTTTACGTAAATATCCGCTTTCGTGGCGACATTAAATGTGGACGGAAAGAGACCGCTATTTTTCAAGCTCTTATTCAGACTGTACGAACTTCTCGCAGCTGAAAAAAAAAACAGGAAATTTTTGTTAGATCAAAATACAAAAGAAAAATTATATGGCACATAATAAAAGATATGATAATAATTATAATAATATTAAATAAATTTATAGTAATAATATTAAATAAATTTTGATATTTAAAAATGTCATATTTTTTATTTTACACTGCAAATTTGTATCAATAAGTTTTACGTTATAAATCATGATGACTTTTTAACAGTGCTATAATTGTCATCATAATTAACTGCCAATATAAAACTGAGACAATGTGGACTTGTTGAATCTGTTATCGTCAAAACTACTGTCAAGATTCCAAAATAGAGCCGCCGCGCGTCGTTAAAACTCTGTTCTAGCCGTTAATCCTCTTTTAGTTTTGTTTTACGAGACTACTGGTGCCTTTTATTAATGAATCGGCACATTGGTATGTAGCGTCGATAAATCATCGTGAGTCTCAGTGTCTAGCTATGTTTATTCACAAGCGTCTGCCTGTGAGGTCGGAGGTGTACATTAGCGTCTCATAAATTCGTCTGACGCGGAAAATTCATGAAGGAAAAGCTAATTATACATTAGTCTTCGGAGAAATTTTTCCCTGAGATTTTCGTTAGATAGATTTATAAAGTTGTACATATAGCCAATAAAAATTTATTAATCGCTGCTTCTTAATTCTAAATTAATAATTATATTCACTCGTAATTTGTAATCTAAATAATAAACGCGTACACTTCTTTTCTGGGAAAGATTGTAACAATAATTTTTTAACGTTTCTAAATGTTAACCTATTATAGAAAATTGCGAGAGAAAGTATGATCTTGAAAAATACTTCCTACTTAATAGATTACGAGAGAGATTTAACATGTGTCATAAATTTTTAACAGTTAACTAGTTTTACAAGAAACGCTTTTCACTCGTATCCGCTGCATGCGGAGTACATGCAAGCTCCGATCGATCAGAGATGTCAATTACAACCTTACCGTAACGCGCGCGCGTGTAATTACTTTCCGACGAATGCCAGTTGTAATTACAATGCATCAAAAAAGAGTCGCTATTTTTCGTGTTTCGGGCGACGTTCGGATTGACGCAATATCTTCGGTCGGAAGAGCCGCGTGAGTGGCGAGAAAGAGGGGAAAAAAAAGGAATAGATGAAGAAAGAAACGTGTAATCGAAGCGGCCGACGCCGCGACGTGTACCGATCCCATCATTTTCTGCTAGGCAACGCATCCATCGACAGGTTTTGACAGAGCGCAACGCGAAACCAGTTGCCGAGCGGCGAGCAGGAGGAGATGCAGCGCGAAGATGCGGCGAACAGGTTCGTCGTCGCACCCGGTTCTCCGGGTAACACCTGAACGGGTTACCCAGAGTGTAGATCGTGCGACACGTGAAGAAACGTGACGAGCTATCCGCGGGAAAGAGAGAGAGGAGGGGGGGGGGAGGAACAGCGCCCAGGAGATAAAAGATACTTTGCGCCGTGCCGCGCCGGTGATAATGAATTGATCATCGCGTCGTGGAAATTGCAACGGAAGAAGCAATCGGTCGGGTTTTTTTCCTTTCCGACTCGAGAATTGATTAGCGGTTGACAGAACTTTAATAACTCGTCATACATTTTTATTCGTCTTTAGATTAATACCGTAAGTAAATTGTTTCTAATTCTAAGCTATTAAATATTTACGCAGAAAATGTCGATGATCCATATCTCATAATTTTAATATGAATTTTCTTAAAATAAAATATCGATGACTCCTTTGCAGTCTTGCCGTTTGCAATCTTGATCGCAGATTTAAGATATATATGCTGAGAATTACGTGGTGCATCCTGCCAAAAATCACTGTTATTAGTCAGTATTATATGTTGCGGGTGTACGACTCATGATCCATCACACTTGATTAATGCTCACTTCGTGCGGATTACACACGCCGCCACGTGAGCGTATGGCGGGAAATAATGATCCCTCGGTATCGCTCATTTAAACAATATTTAATAACAGCCCCGCTAAAGCTCACACAGCCGATATAGCGAGAGAAAGATCGTTAACGATGTTCCGAGCGCTACGCGGAATGTGCTAATCAGATTATACTAATCGCGCCGCAATATTTCATGTTGCTAACGAGCTTTTTATCGTTTTCCTCATTGATTCGCTCTTTCGAATACACGTTTTTCATTAATACATCATTCTGAGGGAGAAAACAGATACGTCTTTAACATATTTACTAGTACTATACTACTACTACTTGTAAAGAAAATTTAAAAACTCATTTACCCGAGAGACTTGAGTTTATGGTTAAATTATTAGTTGCAAAATAATTTTGTTTTCTTTTTAGTACTTCGCATTAAGTTTGAGATTAATCTCGAAATTAATCAGATACACTCTGAGTACAGAAAGGCGATGTACGCAAATAGTACGCGAGAGCATCCCTCCTACGCAGAGTTGTTGTCTCGTTCATCTTCACCAGAAAATCCCTAACAAAACGAACGCTCGCCGCGTAAAAGGCGAAGCCTTTGCTCGCTGTTCTGGGTCCGGTGACGAATCTCTACAAGTCCCACTAAGCCCCCCCATGCGCGCTCACGTAGCTCCCTATTTCAAGAACAACGTGGCAGAAATCTCCCGGACGTGCTGCTTGCACCAAACTGCGCGCATTATGCTCGCGTAGAAAGAAAGCGACTGGGCGTACGCTCGGAGAGCGAGCGGACGCGCATTGTGCGCGTGTCGGGGCTGCAGTCTGCTCCGAGCCGCTCCTATTCCTCTCGCGGCTAGAGCATTGTCTGAATGGGGAAGTGACAACAATGACATCTTTTATTAAAAGGTGTCTAATAATGTGCAAACATTCCTCTTGCTGTCAAATAAATGAATCAACACCTTGTGATATTAGCAAACAATAAAATTGTTCAAAAGGTACTCTACATTAGATTAACGTATAAAACGAATTTGGTCCACGTGCCAAAAGGAAAAGAAAATATCTGCACACTATTAGACCACACCAGTGAAAAAAATATCATCACCACTTTCATGACAATTTCATATTAAAGATAGCTTTCCTATATACTCATCGCATTCACATTCCACCGTCTCACATTCCATCTTCATTCCACGTTTCCTCAGAGAAATTCAAAGAACGATTTAAATCCAAACAATCAAGTTCAAGGTAACGCCGCACCATCGTATCCGTCCTTGAAGCATCCATCGATTACCGTGAATCACTACCACTTCTCCCTGCCTCATCGATGCACCCCCGATTGCACCTTGCAGCTACTGCCGTAACGATCGCTCTGCGAATTCCAAAGAGGCGCGTTCGACGTGCTGAAAACGCACGATGCGATTTCCGACGCGTGAAACATTGCGCGCGGGCGTGGCTCGCGTTGACATGCGACAGAAGACGTGAGCGATCAGGAAATTGGCGGAGACTTGGTTCGAGAACATTTACTGCTACGCTGCAGCTATTTAGTCGTGAGCGATGTATCCTTCCGTTCATGAATTGGTCTGTCCGCCAATGTTTCAAGACACGCGCGTCTCACGATCGAATTAGCAGCTCAAGCGAAACGTAACAATAAATGCAATGATTATTATTCATCGTGAGATTGCAAAAATAATTGCAAATATGCAAACAAAAGTAAAAAATTAAAATAAGAAATTAAAGAGTGCGGCACACCACAATAATATAAAAGAAAGTATTGCATAATTATTATTATGTTCAGTAGAGTATTACAAGCACTAAATTCATATTATTTATTCAAATTCTTAGTTTAAGAACTTATATTTAGTGCCTTCTTTATTTCCATTTTTAAAATTTACTACGTCGAAGTCAATTAATTCGAGCAGTTCTATAATTAGTCGTCTATTTAAATGCGCTTACTCAGAAAATACGTTCGAATATAAAAGAGTGTTTCTTGTTAACTTTCATGCCTAGACGGGGCACTCTCGTGATTCAGTGCATCCCGCGCGCTTTCCCTTCCCTTGTATATCTAACTATATACTCCACTTTCTCATATGTACATACTCTCTTCTTATAATAGTCGCAACATGGCAAGGGGGAGGATCGCGTGCACGGCGATTCCAGAAAAGGAGCAGAGACTGCGGGCATTGTGTCATGTCTGCGCGCACGAAATCGGAGTCTCCTCTCCCGCTTTCGTGCTCCTCTCCTTCCTCTGCCTCTCTCTCGTGCTGCCGCGGCGCGACTTAAACCTGCTACGAGTGACTGATGACGACAGAAATAACCCCCGGTTCCGTCTTTCCGCCGGCCGGTCGACCGGCCGGCGTGGCGCGACGCACGTGTCCACGCGCGTGTGTAGTAAGCCTACGCAACGCGTCGTGCGAAGGGGAAAGAGAGGAGATCGCGATTCGTGTGATTCGCATGCAAGCAACGCCAAGAGATATACCGGGTACGGAGAACGACGCGGCGCCGATGCACGCTCGATGGAGCTTGGCCGTGTCGCGATAAAGACTTCTCGTAATTACCGCTGGCCGACGAGGCTTGCCGTTATTATTAGAATTATGCCGTCGTAATCCTACCTGCTCAATGCTTTTACGATTTGTCAACGACTGAATCGATTAACCCAAGACGACACGGCCACGAGAAAACGTCAGAAAGCCTATTAAACTCTACAAACGGAAAACTAAATGGAAAAAGAATAAAATTGAATTAGATTCGAACTTATCTTTAACGACGACAGCCAATATTATCTCAGCTGAACTCTGACAGAATTTATGAGGTATGTGTTTCGTTATTCATTGCGCTTCCCGTGATGAGAATGAATCTTTCGAACGATACGCATGACTCGTCGGAAACTCTAATCATACAAATAGAGCGCGGATTCACGGCGAAAAACAATGACGACGTACGGACGGCCATTTGTTCGCTCCGGTTCGTTACACACGCGTTACAAGCTCATTGTTCTGCAAAGAGCGAACTCCTTCCTCTCGAGAATCGAAATGAGACGCGCTTAGAGCCGTTTCTACCTACGGGAGGAATTTTTTTCTTCCACTAATAGGTGCATCGTGTCCTCTCGGAG